GTCTTTATGTGTTCTGGCGCTACCGCTAGAAGGTGAGCAGGTGGGACTACGTACATGGTACCACGGGTTCGCGATGGCGAGATTACACGCTTCCGCATATTCCAAGATGCATTCTCCATCGACGTTACGTGTTCCATAACCGACACCACCACAACAACTGTAACCGTCTTTTGGAGCCCCTATGTGACCGTTTAGGTCGACAGCAACAATGACAGCGTCCCGTGCCGGTATCTCCGCTGTCTTTTCCTCAGGCAGAGACCAGAGCTCGTCCTTTGATTGTTAACTGCACCAATCTATGCAGAAACGAGCTGGTACAGTTGTTGCTCGACAACAAAAAGAATCTCCAACAAGCGGTCATTCAAAACGTCGAAACGCTCCACATATTCAAAACGTATCTATTGAGTCGCGGGAACGTCGAGAGGCCACTATGGCCTCACCGCTCGTGGTCCTTGGTTTGCCACAAGGTGCCTCTCGACACCGGTTACGGCAACAAAGCCACACTTTGTCTGCAGCTGGACCATCTTCTTCCCTGCACAGCACCAAAAGCAATCCGTCTGTTCCAGTGCCTCTGCCAGTTCACATGAGCGTCTGGTCAAGGTTCCAATGTTTAACGTTGCAATACGGATTTTCTACGCTGTGCTGCGAGACATTTGGACTTGAGTTGCCTCATCCCCTCACGTCTCCCCCAATGCCGTCTTGCATCGGAGACCTTCGCATGTGATTTCAATCAATCGCCGGGCCTTGCGAGTGCGCGTCGGCTCTCGCGAGCGCCGTAGCATTATTTTGGTATGGTTTCTTAGACATGAGTGATGTGACCCCTCAGGAACACCTGTCTCCTGAAGGGCGTCCTCGCTTAGCTCAACAGAAGCGAGCAGTCCGCCGTATCACCACTCGTAAAAGCGGACTTCACCACCACTGACCTCAGAAATCTATCCACTAATCAGGGTAAAAACATTCAAAATGTTTTCTGACTCGTTAGAGCAATGTGACTGAAATGTCGCAGGACTTTCCTTCTAACCTATTGTCTCTGCACTGAGTTTCTTTCAGACTGGAATCGATAATGAAAAGCCCAACGAGCCAAAGCTCGACATGAAGAATCTGGAAGCTTTTTTCAAGAATGCTGCCACCGCTTCTCGCCCTCCTCCTTCTAAGCGCACTCCTAAACCCGGTAAGGCAAATTTTTTCAATAAGTCGCATATTCTTCTCAACAACAACATACATGAAATAATGTTCTGTTAAGCATCTAAAACTAAGTCAAAGACTAACAGCTGGACCGCGAGAAAGCAGAGATCACTGAAACTGTTTAAAGTCTTGAGGAGGGGTAGCTTCTCAAGCGAAAAAAATGAGCAGAGGTCTTCGGAACGGAAACAAACAGAACACAAAGAGGAGTCGTCGGACGAAAAGGCAAAGGAAAAAGCAGTCGGTTTCAGCAGATCAACAGCCGTCGACTCGGTTGTTTTCAACGTTGCGAAGTATGTTTCATAAACTCCGCAAATCATTTGCAATACTTCAGTTCTGCGTGAAGTGAAAGGTACTTAGTATATGTTCTTGACTAATCCCAGTTATTTTCCTTTCAGCATCCAAAGAGAAAAGCAAGACATCACTACGAAGTTGAGCTCGTCAAAGAACCAGTAAGAAAAATCGCTGTGATATGTGTTGGGAAGTAGGCATAGCAATAAAGAATGTTGAGCTTCACGGTTGAGCATGTGCTCACAAGTATCACTACCTATGGCGGTTTCAGTAAAGGTCCTGGTATTCCTACTGAGCGTAAAATGGGTTACGCCGTGGATTAAATGATTCCAAACAGCGAAATGTATTTTTCTCTTCTGCTTGCCTTTTCCAGCAATAAACGACAGGCGACAGGGTGTCCACGTGGTTAAGGGGAGGAGGAAGGGGAGAGGAGGGGGAGAAAGCCCTTTTGCTCTGAAGTATTTTGAGGGTAGCCACAACTTTTGAGATTTATTATTAGGTTGAAGTATTTTAGTATTTCTCGTTTTTTGAGGTTGCTATGACTATTCTATAGAGCAGAAATTCTGTGTGCATGTATGGTTGTCCGTCCGCAAAATACTTCACGGGATAAAATACTTCAGTTTTAATGATAAATGAATTGCCC